GGCCACCCTGCAGCCTCTGCTGGGTGCTCTGGTGCTGACTACTTCCTTAGGCCACCACCCGCTTGGGTGCTGAGCCTTGAGAGTCTGCATCCCGTCTGCTGGGCTGCCCCCTGCCCTGTGTTTGCCTCATGTCAGCAGGTGGGCCCAGGGCCAGACTTGGCTCCCTCTCCCACTGCCATTGGCAGGCCACACAGGCCTTTTCTGAGGCCAAGCTCAGGGACATCGGAGAGCTAATGCTTGGCTTCTGTCGCCTCTGCTGCTGTCCCACCCTGTGTTGCCAGTTGAGTTAAATTAGGTAATTGTTTTTGGTCCTCCTGCTTCTTCACTATCAGGGCAGAAATGGACAAATAGGCCTGCAGTGGCTTATTGCTGGACTACCAGGGAGCTGGACCTGTGTTAGGACCAGCTTCTCTTTAATTTGGAAATGGAGATGGTCCTGAGGTCCCTGCATATTTTCTACCAATGAAGACAAGTGCAAAGAAGATCAGGTGACAGGGATAACGGCTTGGCCTGCTGAGTGCCCCGCAGAATAGTGGGGGTTTCAAGCACTCCCAGGTTCCTCTACTTTAAAATGGGGATTAGAATAGCCCCTTTAATATATGTCAGATGCTTACGACAGGGCCTGGCTCCTCATGAGGAGGGAGTGCCAGTTATTTGTCTAGTGGACAGTCAGCCCCAGGAAGGCAGGAACTCTGCTTGGTTCTTGGCTGTGTCCCTGGTACCTAGAATGGGGCTAATGCTCAGTGATTATCTGCTAAATTAAGCAAGAGAGGCCATGTGGCTCCTTGGAAAGGACACAGGGTTTAGTGTCTGGAGGCCTGGGGTCTGGTCCCACCTCTGGCACTTGCATTCTGTGAAACTTTAAGCAGGTCACTTAACCTTGCTGAGTGAGCATCCCTGTTCTAACTTATTTCAGTGGGCATGTTGGGAGAGATTTTTCTTTCAGCTGCATGTGCCACGAACCTCCATTAGCATGGCTTAAACAGTGAGGAGCTTGATTACCTCCCCTAACAGGAAAGCTGATTCATCCAGCTCGCTCTGTCAGGGCTCCCCAGAGGCTTTTGTGCACCTCTAGACATCCCCTCCTCGTTCTGAGAGCTGCACTGTTCCAAAGCTCCTTTTCCTTCCCCCAAATGTGGCCAAGGATAGGAAGGAAGGCAGTGTCTCCTTGCACCTGTGTTTATTACGGAGGGAATGCTTTCCACGAAGTGCCCCCTGCAGCCTCCTCGGGTCCTGTTGGCTGTGATTTGTGTCACGTGCCACAGACAGGAGGATCAGACATTGCCACCTCTGAAGTAGGAGGCTGCTCCCGCCAGCAGGGAGAGAGGAAGGCGCTGCGAGGATGACTAGCTGTGCTGTAGGCAGCTGACAGTGGCTTCTTTGTGGAATGTTGATAATAAAACTTCTGTTGGGTTTAGAACAAATGGGACCACGTAGATGGAAGTGCAGAGTAGAGTCCCATCAGGTGACCCATATCTATCCCATTGACATTATATTTGTCCAGATACATGTTTAAAAAGAAAATGTGAATGTCCGTAGCTGGGGCCTGACTTCTTCATTGTGGCCTCAATCTCCACCATGTCCTATTGTCTTATACTTGGCCACTTCGCTCATTTTGCTTCCTGCCTGGTCCCTCCAGGCATTTAAGTTTGCAGCCCCTACAGTAGGGTGTCGTAACATCCATGTTCAACTAGTTTATTCTCATATCATGCAGTTAGAGCCTGGGCATCTTAATTAAAAAGAAAATCCCTTATTTTTTCAGTAGATTCAGTCATGAGTTTGGGGTATTCCAGTCCTCCTTCTGTTGGTCCTTGCTTTCCTGAGCTTTGCCAGGAGAGGTGCTGACCATAGGACCGTCAGTAGGGCCCTGTCTGTGTGCCCAGGGCTGCCTTTGGAAGGTTGATTTTCTCTCTAAGGTACTAATGCCAACATGGTTTGGACAATGTTTCTTTCCCCTTGCAATGTGGACTCTCTTACCAGTTGATTAAAAACAAGCCAACAAACAAAACGCGGAAGTACTCCATTTCGGTGTTTACCGATGGTGTGCTCACAGACCTGCAGCGGTTTATGTTCTTCTTGACATGTATCTCCTGTTAATTTGAAAGCTGTTGACATGCTACATGAGCCCTTATGCAGTACCAATTTCTTTTCTTCTTTTTCTTTCTCTAAAACTCCAGCTGCTTTCTTGCCTTGAGATGTAAATTCCACATTTTGGCTACATTGGATTCCAAGTTTTCCGAGAAAAGGCTTAAATTTATTAGGTTAGTTCACAGTGTTCTCACAGAGAACTTTACTTTGCGGCGGGGAGCCATATGTGGTTGGATTGTTGTAAGATAAATAATGTAAGAAAATCAGCATTACATCGTTGGCAGAAATGTGGGCTGTGCCTGTCGCTTAAATAGTTATCACATGTGATTTAAAAGCCTGGCTCGTGGTGGGAGGGCACGGGGCTGGAGCGGAAGGTCAAGTGGACGTGTCTGCACTTGCGTCCTCCCTGGCGATGGCGCCTCTGCGTCAGTCAGTGCGGGCTCAGATGGGCGCTACAGGGAGCGGGGAGGCCTCCGGGAAGCCTGCGTTAATTGGGATTATTTCCCATCCGCCTCTCCGGATCTGGTTCTCCATGGCATTGAAGAGTAGAAAGTGAACAACAGGCTAGATCACAAACAGGCCTCTGCATGAGATTAAATCTTAGCAGCGAGAGAGGCTTTGTTTGGTTTCATCACTGTTGATACTCACATTTTATATATTTTTTCTCTAAAGATGAGAAACAAATCTGGGAGAGCATCTTTTTGCAGCTAAAATCGTCCTTTCTCAGCATCTAACTTGGATCATGTTCATGATTATTTATATATGTGTGTATGTGTACATCCATCTCCCCACACATCTATGTCACACATGCAGTGATGAACACACGTGGACACTAATGTAAAATGTAAACTGCTGGCAGCTGAAGGCAACTTATCGCAGTTCACCACAGGACATTGATTCCTACGTTTTTGGATTTCATGAACCAGGAATATAGAAAATAAAAAGAAATTGGGGATTTCTTTTTGGCATGGATTGCCAACTTCATGTTGGCAAGATTTCCAACATGTTGGCAATGTTTTCCAAGATTGGTTAAACATTTTTAAAAATTATGGCAAAATTCACATAAAACTTGCTATCTTGATCATTTTAAGTGTAGTGTTAGGTATATTCACATTGTACAATACAAGATCATTTTATAAGAAAGAAATCTAGACAGAAGGATCTCTATCTTCCATCCTCCTCATTTCATCAAAGAACATTTTAACACCAGAAGAGAGACAAAGGAAAGAAGGCTGTCATCTTAGATGCAGGAAATTCCTTCTTAACCTGTGGCAGAATAGGACAGAGAAAAATAATACTGTAGAGAAATGTATAGCAAAGAGATTTGTGTAGCCATTTCCCAGATTTTAAAAATGTTAACTTTTTGTCATCTTTGCTCCAGATATTTCTATTTAAGGTACAGGTACATAGACTGTTTTTTACCAGGCCAAGGCAAAACAAAGAGCTTGTGCCAGAATGAAGTCAGCTACACCACTAAGCTTGTGGTTTAGAAGAAATTTCTCACAACAAGGCTCTGCTGATGAAGGAAGCCCTGTGTTGATTTACATTCTGGCACGAGCATCTTACCGTCAGTGGTCCAGGTGTCTGCACTGGTCAGTAGCTCTGCTCTAGATCTGGTTTTGTTCTTTGACTGTGACAGTTGAAGCCCGTATTTATTCATGCCACTAGGATCCCATTCTCTCTTTCTCCCCCAAGTTAACTAGTGCTCTGAAGTTGGTGTGTATTCTCCCAGTCCATACTGTGTTTGCATGAGCTCATTAGCAGCCTAGAGTGTTATTTTGTGTAAGTACAATGCTATCGTATATAGCCTTCTGAAACTTAATTCGTTTTGCATAACATGGTCTTAAAGACTCATCTACATATATTTTGATAGATGGACATCCACTTTACTGTATTGCTTTATGTGACTATACCACATTACATTTATCTGTCTTCCTGTTGATGCACATTTGGATTATTTCTGTGTTTTTGCTAATAAAACAACACTACAGTGCCCTTCATTAAGTTTCCTTCTCTTCAGGTGAACTAGAAAATGTCCACAGACTTGGGAGGGAGATGAAAGTGGGTATTGCTGTCTCTTGGGCTTTTCTTCTCCAGGAAAGTCTCGTGGTCCAAAACTTGGTCAATCTTCTCTGACAAGCTCCTTAGCAGGCCTTTCTGGAGTGGCCATACTGTTGCTCAGAAAGTTTAGATGATCTAAGTTTCTTTCCAATGTCTAGTCTGTGGTTTCTTTGAACCAGTTGGGGAGATATCCAGGGAAGAAGTGGACCAAGATTCCATTAGAGCTAGATGTGAAGGGCACGTTCCCCAGCTGGCCTGGTAGGAAGGAGGAGGGTCCCATGGCCAGTGTCCTGTGTGCAGCCCATGAGGAGCACTTGGCGCCTTCGCTATGGGTGAATCAGGCTTCAGTCTCAAAGAACAAACTGATAACAGAGACATTTTTATAATAGTATGCTCAGTGTACTTGATTTCACAGCCTTCTCTGTTATCTTCATCAAATAGTAGAGTGTTTTGAACACCCTTTAGAAAACAATAAGTGGAATACAACTTGATGAGAAAAAGCTACTTTTACAGAAAAAAGTAGCAGACTATAAGATTTTATCCTGTACAGGGCTCCTCTAAGGCTGTTCAAGAAGCCTGTCACTTGGCCATTCCCATGTGCCACGTGCCAAGTTAAGTTATGGGTGGGGAAAATCTAAGAGTGATTACTCATATGACTAATCTGTTTTAATGATTCAAGTGCCTTTCTGACAAACATTTTGTGTATAATTTGATGTATCTGAACCATTGTGGTATGCCAGATTATCAGAAAAAAGCTTTTTCAGTGGTTCCCACTTGGGAGATCACCGGTGTTGGATATACAGGCATGTGTTCATGTTTGTAAGGTATTCTCTTTCTTTTTCTTTAATCAGCTGTCAAAGCTTGAAAAACAGCAGCAAAGGAAAGAAAAGACCAGAGCCAAGGGTCCTTCTGAATCAAGCAAAGAAAGAAACACTCCCCGAAAAGAAGACCGTAGTGCCAGCAGCGGGGCTGAGGGCGACGTGTCCTCTGAACGGGAACCATAGGCTCGGGAGACGGAATTCAGGTAGGAGTTTCCCCAGCCCGGGTGGCTTCGTCTTCCCACGGTTCGAGGAAATGGCTGTGAATAGGGGATAGCGTGGCTGCTGTGGCAGGATTCGTTTTACAGACGTTCATCCATACCTTCCTTAAATCTGCTTTCCAAGATGGAGAGAAAAGTTAGCAAATAAGATGTATTTTAGGGCCGGGCGCGGTGGCTTACGCCTGTAATCCTAGCACTCTGGGAGGCCGAGGTGGGCGGATCACTCGAGGTCAGGAGTTCAAAACCAGCCTGAGCAAGAGCGAGACCCCATCTCTACTATAAATAGAAAGAAATTAATTGGCCAACTAATATATATGGAAAAAATTAGCTGGGCATGGTGGTGCATGCCTGTAGTCCCAGGTACTTGGGAGGCTGAGGCAGCAGGATTGCTTGAGCCCAGGAGATTGAGGTTGCTGTGAGCTAGGCTGATGCCACGGCACTCACTCTAGCCTGGGCAACAAAGCAAGACTCTGTCTCAAAAAAAAGAAAAAAAAAAAAAAAAAAAAAAAAGTATTTTAGGCCGGGAACAGTGGCTCACGCTTGTAATCCTAGCACTCCAGGAGGCCGAGGTGGGCGGATTGCTCAAGGTCAGGAGTTCGAAACCAGCCTGAGCAAGAGCAAGACCCTGTCTCTACTAAAAATCAAAAGAAATTAATTGGCCAATTAAAAATATATAGAAAAAATTAGCTGGGTGGTGGTGCTGTAGTCCAGCTACTCGGGAGCTGAGCAGTAGATGCTGAGCCAGTGTTGAGTTGCTGTGAGCTAGGCTGACGCATGGCACTCACTCTAGCTGAAAAAAAAAAAAAAAAGAATGTATTTTATTCATTGAGATATGGGAGGGTGGTGTACCCACAGTCCTGGGGGTATTCACGGGGGTGGGGGGCAGTTCTGTTGTATGCCACCTTCTTTAGGGGCCTGTGTCAGTCCACAGTTACTGCCTCTGATTTATTTGTTTTGTTTTAAAAAGTGTTTTATTTTGAGTTAATTTTATACTTAAAGAAAGGTTACAAAAATGGTAGAAAGAATTCCCTTATATCCCCCACCCCTCTTCCCCAGTGTTAACGTCATGTATAACCATACTACAGTGATCAAGAACAGGAAATTAACATTTGTACAATATTACTAACTAAACTGTAGAACTTACTTGAAATTCACCAATTTTTCTACTAATGTCTTTTCTGTTCCATGATCCTATCCATGACCACACAATGCATTTAGGTGTTCCCCCCCCCAAATACTAAAGGGGTACAAGAGTTTTTGTTATATGATGATATGCTATAATACTGAAGTCAGGGCTTTCAGTGTGCCTGCCACCAGGACAGTGTTTGTTGTGCCCAACAGGTAAGTTTTTGTCCATGCCCCTCCCATGCTAAGGGCAGCAGTCCAGCCGTGGTGCTTTTTCACTGTCAACCCCACCCAGACACGACACCACGTCTCTCCCTTCAGTTTTGTTGAAGACTGTAGATAATAGCCTTTTCTGTAATGGGCTAAAACCCGAAGTTCAATAAGTTTACAACAACTTGACTGTTCAAGCTCCCATGATGAGCTCAATGAATGGGAAAGGGATAAACATATAAGCACGTGTGTCCTAGTAACCAAACCCAGTTTATCCATGTGAATATGCACACACACACACAGGCCCAAATTCCAATGTGCCTTGGAGCTTTGTATTTTCAAAACAGCTTTAAAAATTCTAACACCACCTAGCTGATTCATTCCTGAGTTGTATTATTAATCTGCTAATATATTTTTAAAATTTAATGCCTTGATTTTTGCTTTAACTGTATCTAATCAGTGCTTTGAAGATCTTTGCTTTAATCTATTAGGGTTATTGAATGGTGTTACTTTTTGAATTAGTGTAAAACATAACAACTTGAAGCCTTCCATTTGCTTTAGATTTGGCCTCAGAATAATTCCTGTGTAGAGAATGTTCCATGGACATAAGTATTCTATGCCTCCTGGGCAGCCTGGGGGTAATTTTGCTATTTCTATGGGCAAGAAAAATACTCAAGGGCCCCCGGGCAGAGGAAGAGACAGAAGCTGTGTGTGTGGCAGCACATCCAAGAGGACAGGCTCACAGAAGGAAAACAGCGCACAAGAAGGACAGAAGGTGAAAGTTTAAGATGGGAAATTTCTCATGGGCTTGTAGGTATCTACTTCTTGCTTCTCTCAAGTTAATGCAATTTTTAAAAACTGGTATTTACTTTTCTTTTCAGGGTAGTGCAGATTGGGTAGGATAGACCTTGGGGCAGATGGTACTGTTGGAAGCCACCCAAACCGCTAGCCAGAGAGGGGGCGCAGCTGCAGGGGAAGCAGACTGAAAGGGTGGTGTTTGGGAAAGAGTAGGCAGGGGTGTGTTTCCTTCCCCTTCACTGTGAGTAGAGCTTGTTGTAGCCGTGCCTGCCTTGTGGCCGTAGGGAAGAGGTAGGGAGGGGGTGAAGAGGGATGCTGGAGGGGAAACTCCTGCCTGGCCAAGGGAAGGTAAAAGCCAGCCCCCAGCTTAGGGGACTCAGTGGGAAGGAGCAGGGACAGAGGAGGGAAGCCCAAGGCCTCTCCTGTGTGCTCTGGCTCTTGCTCTAGCTAGGATGGGAGATTGGGTTGAGGGAAACCTGAGAGCTGTAGAGCCCTGTGCTCTGTCTCTGCAGGGAATTCTGGAGGGAGACTGCCGTGCAGGAGGGAGACTGCCGTGCAGGAGGGAGACTGCCGTGCAGGAGGGAGACTGCCGTGTAGGAGGGAGACTGCCGTGCAGGAGGGCTCCACGTCTCCATGAGGCTGCTGCAGCCAAACACAGGGAATCGTGAAATGTGGTTAGGTGTCAGCAGGCCTGCAGTAGTGCCCCGTAGTGTCACCGTGTGTGTTTCAGAAGCCTCCAGAAGGTCTCCTCTGCCCTGTGAAGGGTGCAGAAGATGGCCATCTTGGATCTGTCGGGCCAGCCATGGGTCCTGGGAATATGGGATGAGGTGAGCCTGCCCCAGAGGCTGAGGGGGTATCTTCCTTATGAGGTGGAGGGCTCATGGCCTCAGCTCCTCTTAGCACTGGCAGTCCCTCTGGGTCTCAGCCATGACCTCCATCTGGCCTCCTGCATGTGACTTGCAGGGGTCTGCAGTGCTAGCCAGAGCTGAGGTGAGGCCAGGTCAGCAGGGAAGGCCCTGGCCCCTGAGAAAGAGGAACCATGCCTCAAGTGGCCCACTGCTTCTCGGTGTGGCACCAGGGCTCAGGCACTGAGCCACACCAGCCACCCAGCCACAGAGGCCACTGAGCACCCAGGGCACTGCTGACACCAAGGTGAGACAGAGCTACTGTGACCTCTAGATTTCCCCTGCTGCTGTTCAGTAGAGGGAGGCTTGTGAACAAGTTTAGGTTGGCCCATGAAAATACAGAAGTCATGTTTTCTTTGCAGTAATTTAGGTAGTGCCGTGTGGGTTTTGGAATAAGCACATTGACAGCTTAGCATAGGCATCCGGCAGTACTTACGCACATCAGAGTCAGCAGCAACAAAGCCTGGTGCCTGGTGCTAAGGACCAGGCATGAAAGAGTCCTTCTGAGCTTCCTGCCAGCAGCCTCAGACACCCACAGCCATCTGAGGACCAGGGTGGGCTTGGGGTGTTCCCACTTCTGAGAATTTAGTCATGGTCCTAGATTTGAAGACCCTAAAGGGGACCAGGAATAATGAAAGCTGGTACTCCAATTATATATTTGGGGTTTTTGTTGCTCATGCGTTTTTGTTGTCCCTTTGGATGAAATTTGTCATCCTAGTGGACTACAAAATCACCACCAGATATTCAGATATTTTTAAGAGCTGAATTCAGTAGTGACAGACAGAGGATGACCTTGGCATTTGTTTTGTTCCACAGAAAAACAGCACCCTTTGTAGGAATGGAGCAGCAGTTTTCATTGCTTTTCTTATAAAACAGACTAAGCCCTAGGGAGCTCCCAGGCCCTAAGGGGAGAAGCTTTGAGTTTCCAAAGCATGAGAGAGAAAGAAAAGGCAAAAGAAAATGGAATGAGAAACTGCATGATCTTGGGCATATTTTTCTTTGGAAATGAGTCAAAAACTTTCATGGTTCAGAGGACATTCCCAGGGCTTCAACATTTCTCTGTCGCATTGCAAACGTTGCTTCTTATTTTACCAAATGGACATGAAGCTGCTAAAATTAACTTCTATATTTGTCCTCTGCCTCATTCCTTCAGGCTCCCTCACCTTGCTGGGAGGATTCAAAGTTTTCTATGAGGCTGAGACTCAGTTATTTCCCCCTTTCCTGCTACTGCTAAAGTGCTCAGGCAACCTCTTGCTAAAGAATGCTGTTTCTGCTTTTGATTGCAGGTTCAAGTGTCGCCTCATTTGAGTGTTTACTTAGCTGCTGTAATTAGGGTGTGAGAGGAGCATGCTCCTGACCAGCACCCCACATTTCTGTCCTCAAATGTCAACACACTTGAAACCAAACAAAGGAAGTGTTTTAGAAGCTGCCGTTTGTTTGCTTTTTCAGTGTGACCTTTGTCTGAATAGTAAGATGTGTCCTGGCTGAGCACACATCTTCCTAATGAGCTGGAGCAGTTGAGAGAGAGAGAGAGAGAGTGTGTGTGTGTGTGTGTGTGTGTGTGTGTGTGATTCTGTTAAATGTGTATTCGATCACCTTTCAGTGTTTTTTTTTCTGCCTATATAAGAGAGTATTTCTTTCATTCCCAGTGCTTCACTTTGCTTCCCTGTGTGAACATTCATGCTACATTCTCAAGTCCATGTGCCGTGTGGTGTAAAACTAGCTGTGCCTATGAAATAGTGTTTTTATTTTTTTTTAGCTTAAAACTTTTTTTTTAGTGGTTGCCCTAGAGTTTACAATATACATTTTAATCTAATCTAAGTCCACCTTCAAATGACAGTGTATCGCTTCAGCTATGGTGCAGGCACAATATTTAACAGCATGTTTCCCCATCCCTCCCATCTCTGGGATGTTGCTGTCATTCATTTTACTTTCTGCATGCTATCA